GACTGGCCTTCAGGTTTACTATCGCCTCCCTTTCCTTCCTTTACCCTCTGCATCTCACATCCTTCAGTCTCTCCCTCCACGTTCCCCCCTCCTTCCTCCTCACCTTCTCTGCTTTCTCCTCCTCCTCTATTTCTCTCCTCCCTCCTGCCCCTCTCCTCTCATCTCACCTCCATGTGCTTACTTCTCTTGAGGTGCAAGCAGTGCATCCTGAGAGACGGGGAGCCGCCATTGGTGTCCCAGAGCTCTGTGCTGTGTGTGGTGGGAGCAGGGCTGGGCAGAGGCAGTTCGGTCCTGAGACCCCAGTGGAACTGGGCCTAGGTGTGGGATTTTTCTGTGGTCTTTCAAGTCATCCAATCAAGAGAGGGTACCACTCCCCATCTCTGGGGTCCATTATCTGGTCATTGTACCCCCAAGAAGGCTGGATGGCAGGGAGCAGTCAGGAGGCCGTACGTCTATGTGTGACTAGGGACCAGGGGAAGAAGCAGGGAGCCAGGACAGCTGATGGTTAGGCCAGGAGTCTGCAGAGAAGGCTCGAACCCTGGCCCTGGCCCTCATAGGCCACAGGAGACTTGATGAACTGAGGCAGGCACGATTTAATTTCCGAGTTTGCCCTGAAGCCTCAGGCAAACTATAAGGAAATGGCCCAGATTTGGGAGAGCAAATTTTTATCCCACTGTGTCTTCAAGTAACCGTGTTGGCCCAGGAACTTATGTATCAGTTTCCACGTCTGTAAAAAGGGGATACGAAACCTTACCCTCTCTTCCTTCTGGGGATGCTAAGATGAGCCTTCTTGGCCTAGGACTTCAGGAGGTCCATGAACTGGCCAACAATGACAGTGATGCTGTGGGTGCATTTTATGGGAGAGGGGGCCCATGGTTTTCATTGCTACTCCGAGGTGCCCAGAACTCCCTTGGAAAGATTTATAAACCTTATTCTAATGAAATAATGCAAACTATTTGGGGCGGGGGGGCGGGGGATCTCTCTGTTACAAGGTACTGGTCTTTGTTCTGAGATTTCCTTGTGTGACTCAAGCTGCCTCTGAGGCAGGTAACCAAGTGTATGCAGGTATCCGACCCTATGTGTTTTGCTCAAATGCCCTATGGACAGGTGTTCTGAATTTCTCCACTTACATATCCTGGACCCTGCTTGTTGCCTTCATCAGACAGTCTGTGGGTACCATGGATCCTCCGCCATCAGTTCTGGCCACCCACGTGTCCATGCCTCCCTTCACTCTGGATAGAAGCATCGCCTTTCTGAGCATGTTTCAGATTCTTACTCACCGTAGGGGTCCTCACAGGGTGAGAGTAAGATTCACCTTCCCTTCTCCTTCTGCTCTCTGCAGCCAAAAGCAAATTAATGCCGCAAACACAGCCGCTGGTTTTGATTAGGCAGGGGAGGTTGGAATTATAGAAAGAGAGGGAAAGCCTCTTGCCTCTGTATTCAGGCAGTAAACTGTTCCCTGCAACCTAAGTTTGCTTGTTGCCTGGGAAGCCTAAAGTCCTCATGGGGCTGCTGTGGTCTGCTCAGTCCTCCCAGGAAGACAGGACACCAGTGGGGTGTGGGCAGCTCCCCGCCGGGCTCGTAACTTACTGGACGGTGGCTGGGCCTTCCTTCGGGCTGGCTGATTTAAGGAGGGTAGCAGGTGTGCTCCATTTGCCTGGTGGGTGGGCTGTGCAAGGGTCCCTCCTCTCTGGTCCAGAGCATCTTCATCTGTTAGCCTTCCACTCTGCTCACTGGGTGGTGTCAGTGCTGACTGAGAGGGCAAGAAAGGGGCAGGTCATCCTGTCCATTGTTGATGTGCTACCAGGTGGCTGTGTGGTTCCAAAGGGTGGTCTCAGGGACTTTGGGATGGGTGTGATCGACGGGCAGGGTGGAGTAGGCAGGGCCTAAAGAAGGTGAGAGCTTAGCTGGGAAGTCCTCAAAGGGATGGAACACATGAGGCTGGCTTACCAACAGATGAACCACAAGTACAGTTTAGCTCCTGTCTGACCTCCTCATCTCAGAACAGAGCCTCCTCTCTCCTTCCTACGCCCTGGGGATCCTGGATCCAGTTATCTCTTCCACCCCAGCTTGCAACACTGAGGCTCTGGGAGGCAGGAACTGCTCTGCTTTTGGAGGCTGCATTTCCATCTTATCATCCAGGCCCTGAGGCCTGGTGGCCATAGGGACATTGCTAAGTTTAGCAAGTGAAAGCTTTGGAGGGGAGGCTTGGCCAGGGAGGGGAGGGGAGCAGGGGTAAGAGTCCAGTGGGAGTGAGTGGATTTAACCTGGTGATGTGGAATGGTGGAGAAAGGGAAGCTACCCAAGAGGCCATGAGCTCTGCCACACGAATGAGAAGATAGTGGATGTCCAAACTCCCAGATCCCTTGCCAACCATACCCTGGGGTGCCTGGAGATGTGAACAGTGTCTACCAGGCTTCTAACTATAGAAATGAGCTTCAGACTCTGAGTCTAAAGTGCAGCTCCTCACAGGCCCTTGGCCAGGAAGTCCCCTGCTTCCTTCCCCCTCCCCTGGCCCTCCCCCAAGCCCCTCCCCCACCCAGTCTTCCCTGAGACCAGGTGATTCTTTGCCAAGTCCATTCTCACTACTCCATGTCTGTCCCAACTTCCAGGCTCTTGTTGTCTTTGACCCAGACAATCACACAACTTTCTAACTCATCCTGCACCTCATGCGAAATCCAGTTCTTCCCTGCACTTCCCACACTCAGGACTCTTCCGTGGCTCCCTGTCATTTTCAGGATCAGACTCGAATCCTTTAAAAGTCTGACCTCTGACATCTCACCTTTTGCTCATCCATCTCACCCATCACCTTTCCTCCTATTCTGGTCACACTGGGAAACCCCAGTTCTGTTTCTGTGTTTCCACCTCACTCTCCATGCCTGTCTGTCTGCCTGAGCTGTCATTCCTCTGTCACTGTGCATCCAAATTCTGCTATCTCAGAAGGTCCATGTTCAATAACTCCTCCTCCAGACAGTCTTTCTTGCTTCTCTCAGCACCATGATATGGGTCCTCCCTCTGAATCTTCCTGTAGCTGCATCTTTTATCAATTCCCCATGCTGTTTCAGTTAGTTTCCGTGTTTCATGTCTTCACTCAAATGGGAGTTCCTTGAGGACAGGTCATATCTGGCATCTGATATTGACATGCCCCATGATATATAAAATAGGGCCGTGTACACAGTAGGTGCTCAGTTAATGCTTTTTGTGTATTCGTGTGTAGGAATGAGTGAGTGAGTGAGTGAGTGAGTGAGTGAGTGAGTGAGTGATGGAGCACCTTGCTCATATTGTGGGACATTGAGAGTGTGGGACAGAAATGGGCCAACTTGGGGAATGTTATTCCAGACTTTCTGTCACCCCTGGTGTCAACGGTGCTGTTGGGATCATGGGACTGGGGAGGCCTTGAGTGGAACTCCTCTGGCCAGGCTGTCAGCCCGGCCCCCACTCCTGGTCCCCAGAGCCAAGAGTCTAGGGTGTGAGTGGGTTCCATCCTCATGAGTATGAGCATCTCGAGAACAACAGGGGCCAGAGAGTGTTCAGCCTCCCCCAAATGGAAGAAAACAAACTGTGTGTCCAATGCCCCCTGATCAAGCCTCTGCTTCAGCTGAGAGGCCTGCGCACATCGTCTTTGTAAAGAGGACTCTGGTGTTGGCCCCTGTGAGAGCCTAGCACCACCTGCCAGAAACCACCACAGGCGTCATCTCTGCGCGGGGCCCTTGGCCAGAGGCGAGGGGCATGGGGATGGGGATGCTGTGGTTACTGCTCAGTCAGGCCTGAGAAGTGTCTGATGGGAAGAGGTTTCTCAGCAGAAATATCTGTGTTTGAGCGAAAGTCTCTACTTTGAACTTCAGACTGAAGCTTTCTCTTACATTCTTTACCGTTTCTGATCACGCATCCACCTTTTATTTAACTTTCTTTGAGTCATTTCTTCATTTGGGGCTGAGGTTGGGGGAGGGGGCTCATTTCATCTAGAGTCACCACCCCCGGATCCAGGGCTCGAGGTTGGGAGGTCACGGGGCTGTGGACCATCCACCTCCGCCGCTGGTGCGGGATGAGGGACCTGGTGGTTGTTGGTTTGGGGTACCCACATGCTTTAGATGGATTTCCCAAAGGAATTTGTCAAAAGCAGCTCCCCAGCTTGCACACTGAGGAGTCCCAAGCCCAGTGGACCCCAGCAGCCCCACCCAGCCCCACTGGAGCAGGGCCTCATTCTGTCTCTGGGTCCCTCCCCCGAGACACCACCGGCCGGTGCTTCCTGTGGTCACCCATCTCTGTATGTGCTGTTTTTGCCTTGTAGTAACTCAGATTGGTGTGTCCCAAGGGCATAATATGTGTCCAGACCCTGGCATACCTGAAAGGGGCAAAAGACTAGGCTCGGATTTCAGGTAAGATATGTTTGGGAACTTTCTGATTGCAAGGAGGGTGGGATGGGCTGCAGGGGGGAAGGAAGGGGCTGGCTGGTCTTCCAGGAGGTGGAGGGCAGAGGATGGTCCAGATACGGGAATAGACACTTTCTGGAGAAGTGCTATGGCCTTTGACAGTCTTTCCTAGTCCAGTTCTGGGAATAGCGCCCTTGCCTGAAGGGGAAGGGGAGAGCTGCAAACCAATCCCTAGGGTACAGAGGACCACTGACGCCAGGAATGCCATGCCAGCAAGCAGCTTGTGCCTCTGATAACCTGGGAGCCCCTAGGGCCCCAAGATGGTGCATTTCACAAAGTTTCTATCAGGCTTCTTCCCCTAATTCTCGATTTTGATTAGTTTTGTGTATCATCCACCCACTTAGAGCTGTCCTAATTGATACTTAGAGGATTATTGTTTTGCTCACAAAGTCATCTTTTGACTTAATCCTAAAACCATTCAGTGGTCAAAACAATGGGGATTTTAAGTGATAAAATTGGAATGATCAAGGGCCAGAACAGAAGTAAGGTTGAGGTGGTACTTTGTGGAAGCAGGAGGCCCCCCGGGTGGGCCCAGGATCGAGCTCACAGACGCACCTTGTCTCCCAGGTTAGGATCCAGCGTCCAGTTCACCTGCAACGAGGGTTATGACCTGCAAGGATCCAAGCGGATCACCTGTATGAAAGTGAGCGACATGTTTGCGGCCTGGAGCGACCACAGGCCGGTCTGCCGAGGTGAGGGTGCCCTGGGAAAGGGAGGCTGGCCAGAGCGCTGGGCTGGGTGTGGAGGATAGAGCCCAGCTCTTAGCGCCTGAGGCCGGGGCTCCCATCCAGGCTGGCTCAACCCACTCTCACTGCTCCCCAGGCCTCGGATCCTGCATTCATTTACTGATCCCCTTCCATTTATTTAGCACCTTCCCTGTGTCAGGTTTACACTAGGATGAGGACATCCATGAGTGGGGAAGAGAACCATGGCCCGGCATGGACCTTTCAATCTAATGGGGAGTACATATGCAACAGGTTGCTAGCTCATTGCACAGATGTTATAGCTATACCTAGATAGGAAGGGGAGTCACCCTCAGGATGTCTCCTTTAAACCCCCCATTATAACACATGTACATCCTAATCCCTGAATCTCAATGTATGTTTCTCTCCACATACTCTGCAATAAACAGGCCTGCCCTTCTGAAGGTGCTCTTAACTGAGCAGAGCATATGGACCTGTCTCAGAGGCTCCTCTGTTCTAGCCCCACACCTGGGCACCTTGTTCTCAGGGCCGTGCCACTCATGTCCTCAGATGACACATGTACCAAGGTTGGGCTGGCCAAGCCCTCATCCCCCGAACGATCTTAAAATTTCAGACCTGAGTGTGTGCCATTGTGAGGACAGAGCAGCAGCTGCTTCTGTTAGAGAAGCCCTGGCCTCATTCCCCAGGGCACCGGGAGGCGGCTTGTAATTCCCTACAGTCTGTGCATCTCTCCTTCCACTGTTCGTGCGCATGGCCCGGACTCAGTCTTGGTGCAGGAATAAGCACTCGAGTTTGTAAACGCAGCCAACAGCTGCTCTTTCGAGCACCCCATTGGAAGAGAAGGCGTGTTGCCCATGATAAAGTTGCAGTCTGGGTTCTTCCGGTTTAAGGGAAGATTTTTGCATCTCTACAGGCACATGCATCACTGTGAGATCCATGCAGAGTAAGGGGTCCAGGAGAAAGAACTCTGATCGTGACCACACTGAGGAGACCCACTCCCTTTTTCAATGGTTGATAAGTCATCTGGAAGAGGGTTCTGAACGTATTTCAAATGCGCTTCGTTTTATTCATTCTCACTCAGCATCCAGGCGGCTGTGATCCTCAGTGAATAATGTACTTTGAGTTCCCACTAATTTGAGCTATATTATTTCAAAGATTCCACTTAGCTAATATTTTTTAAACATCAAACAAAAGAAGAATTCTTGGGGATAACTCTCAGGTTTCCCACCAACTGGCCATGGGCAGTTTGGCAAATCATTAATTTTCCTGGGGCCATTGTTCTTACTGGTAAAGATAGATAATGGTACCTATCCTCCTCCATCTTGTGTTAATGTGAAGGTCAAATGGAGTTGTGGATATAGGAACCTTTATAAATTGGGGAGTGCTAGACAAAAAATCAGATATCATCATGCTAGATGATAAGCTCTCAAGGGCAAGGAGTTCTATTTTGTTTTCAAACCAGGGCCTGGCACTTGTGTTCAGTAACATGTCTTCTCTCCTTTAAAAAAAAAAAACATA